AAAAAGAAAGAAAGAAAGAAAAAGAAACCTAACTAATTAACTAACTAAAACAAAAAACTAGAAATGTTTGGATCTTTTCCATAAGGCCTGGGCAATAGTAGGGACCAACTCAGGGGTGTAGAATGAAGTCCACACCAGTGGATATATGGTTTCTTGGTTTCTTGTTTCTTTTTTCCACTGGGATGGTATGGCACTAACACACAAGTCTTGGGAGACAAAATACAGAAGAGGCAGTATAACAAAGTTGTTAGTGCTTGGATTGAATTACACACCTAGTTCAAGTTCAGGCTGTCACTAACTAGCAAGGTAAACTTGGACAAGTTACTCAACCCTGTCAGTCTCAGTTTCTTAATCTGTAAAATAAACATAAAGTTAGTAGCTATTGAATCTTTGTGGGTAGAGATAGAGTTGTGTTAAATAATACCTCCTCTCTTCTCCAACCAGGTTATAAACTAACCAGTAATGAAACAGGATAAGACAGGGATGGCTCTGTGGCCTGGTGGGTAAGTGAGCTGGATTCTACACGGGTGACCTCACAGTCCAAATGATGGCCCTGAAGGCTTGAAAACTCTGAATGCACACGTGCAGGTGTGTGTGTGTGTGTGTGTGTGTGTGTGTGCGCTCAAAATCCTGATGGAGTAGAAAAATGGAGGAGAAAGGATTGTGATGTGATCATGCCCCATGGTGGGGGGAGTGCTTTCCTCTTCTATCTCTGTCTCTCTTTCTGGTGAGTGCACAGGTGCTCTGGCAGAGTAAACAAAGCAAAACACAGAATAAGATAGTCGAAGGTAAATATTTCACTTTTATTATTGAAGCTGACATTAAAGAATGTGGCATCTTCATGGACAAGTGGGCTTTCCAGCCAGACCTTTCTACCAATGCAGGCCTCCCCTTGCAAGAGGCAGAGCATAGCATGTGCTCTCTCAAAGAGAAAGAAGAGGTCTCTATTTCTCCCATCCGTGTGGTGCCATCTGCTCAGTTTCTCCTTCCCAGGGGTGGAGAGGGGAAGTAGAGAACATCTGGGAGTGTTACCTTTGTGGGTTTTCTCCATGTAGAGGGAAACATCACTAGTGGGGGAAAAAGCAGCTGCCCCTAGTGGTAGCCACTTCATAGGGCCTTCCTAAGGATTTTTTTTTTCTTTTTTGAGAGGTTTTTGTTATAGGGCACGTGTGCTTGCCAGACAGACAGAGAGAGCCACAGAGAAATAGAAAGTAAGAAATCACCCCCCAGTGGGGATGACCACGCCGCAATCCCTTCTCCTCCATTCTTCTCTCAGGATCTTGAGCACGCATGCACATGTGCCCTGCGTGAGTTTAAGCCACCGGGTCCGAGACTCAAACTGTGGTCTGCTATATGGGAGTCCAGCGACATAGCCATTATACTAACTGCTGGTCCCAAGATTTTGTGAGATGAAGTAAGGTATTTGGCTAGTGCTAAATGTTCAACATAATTTATCAATTGATCCTATTACTGCCACCATTATTACTGAATGTCAGGACTACGGGAAGGGAATGGGGCCACAATCAGTTGCTGAGAAAAAACAGATGGTTTGGAAAAATATGTGTTGTCCTATGGGAAAAAGCAATAAAAAGGTTCAGGATATAACCATTAAAGTAAATAAGAGGCTGAGTGTCTATACTTACTAGTCCTTTTATAGTTGCCCTGGGATAGTGGGACCAACATGAAGGTTCCAGATAGGGAAGAAGGAGGTTGGATTTAATACAGCTGAGAGGAAGCAGAGACCTTAGTTAGATGAATGTGAAACAAGATGTCATGGAACTGGAGCTGGGAAATCCTGCCAAAGCCTGATCTCCTGGGTTAAAGATTTCTGGGTCTTGGGCAGTGGGTTAACCCATGCCTATTTGGTTTCTATTTCAGACATGTGAATAGCCCATCTTCTTCCCTTATGAGGTTTCCACTAACTGTTTAACTCCAAATGTTCTTTTGCATTGTTAGTCAGGATTCTCCAGAGACATATAGCCAACAGGAGACACACATACATATATCTACACACACACACACATATATATTTATACATGTATATATAGATTTATTATAATAATTCATTTCAGACTTTTTATATATAAATGTTTCTATGTAATTTACAAATTATAGATTTATTATGTGTGAAGGGTCTTCAAAATGTTCATGGAAAATTGCATTTTTTATGAAAAACCAATGCATGAATTGCAAACATTTTTGTAACAAATTAAACTCATATTTTTATCTTATTTTCCCACAAATGTTTTGAAATCCCCTCCTATATATTTTTTTCTTTTTTTGGAGAGTTTTTTTTTTTTTTTTTTTGCTATAGGGCACGTGCACTCGCCAGAAAGACAGAGAGAGACATGGAGATAGAAAGCGAGAAATCACCCCCCCAGGGGGGATGGCCATGCCGAAATTCCTTCTCCTCCATTCTCCTCTCGGGATCTTGGGCACACATGCACACGTGACCGGCATGAGTTTTAAGTCACCAGGTCCGGGACGTGAACCGCGGTCGACTACATGGGAGTCCAGTGACATAACTATTACGCTAACTGCTGGTCCCCCAAATCCCCTCCTATATTAAAAAACAATTGTTCTGATGAATTCCTTAGTCATGGAGATTGAGAAGCCCCACTACCTGCTGTCTGAAAGCTGGAAGCCCAGAGAAGCCAGTGAAACAAGTCTAAGTGTGAAGATCTGAGAGGCAGCAGAGCTAGTGGTATGAATTCTAGTTTGAGGAGAGGAAGAGATGAGGTGAGATGTCTTGGCTCAAGCAGTGAGGCAGGAGAAAGGGGGCACATTTCCCCTTCCTCCTTTTGTTCTATTCAGTCCCTCAATGAATTCGATGATGCCCCATCACATTGGGGATGGCCATCATCTTTACTGAGTTTGCCTACTTTTTTTTTTTTTGAGAGTTTTTTTTTTTTAATAGGGTGTATGCACTTGCCAGAGAGACAGAAAGCAAGAAATCACCCCCAGGGGGATGGCCAGGCCACAATCCATTCTCCTCTCGGGATCTTGGGCATGCACCCACGCGTGCCCTGTGTGAGTTCAAGCCACCAGGTCTAAGACTCGAACCGCGGTTGACTACGTGGGAGTCCAGCGACATAGCCATTACACTAACTGCTGATCTCCTGAGTTTGCCTATTCAGATGATAATCTCATTTAGTCACCCTCACAGACACACCTGGAAACTTTATTTGGCTACTCTATGGCTCACTTAAGTTGATACATAATGTCAACTATCACCAGTTGGATTTGTCTTGACTTTAGCTGAAAAATGTAGATATAGGCTGGTGGGATTCAAGAAAGTTCAACAGCCTGGTGTTTGCTCAATGCCTACTCATCCCATTCTGGGTCCAGTTTGGCACACAAGCTCCTTTGAGACTTTGTAGAGATGTTGTTGCTTGATAGTTCTTATAGAGTATTAAAAGGTAAATTAGCCACACATTTTGAAAACAGTGTTTTTCAGATTTCCATATGTTTCTGATTTGAGCTAAGTGTGACTTTGCTTTAAGGCGATTTAAAAATTCTTTTTCTTCATTCTTTCTCTGGGAATTTGTATCCAAGGCCTTTCTTCTTCTTCCTCTTCCACATCCTCCTCTGTCTTACTTTTCCTTTCTTTGGTAGTAGGCTTCCAAATCCCTCAGTCTGTATAAATAATGTTAAAAGGAACCAACTGGCCCACTCACAGTATTGCAGGCTGCTAAGACGTTATGCTATACAGGCTGGGATCTTGTGGGAAGTCCGGGTACAATATCTAGTTCAAGCCCAGGCCTGTAATCCCAGCCACTCTGGAAGACTAAACCAAGAGGATCTTGACATGGACTTGATGAGATCTTTTTCTTTTTGAAAAAGAAAAAAAGGCAGCCAACTGGATTTTCTAAAATTATGGACGACTCACCTGATCTCAAGAGGAAGCCTCATATTGGCAGGTTGTCTTCTCCTTTCACAAACCATAATAATTTATTGCCAGAAGAAAGAAGTCAGAGAAGAGCTGAGGAGTCGATATTTAATAATAGGGACACAGATGCCAGCAGGTGGCCTAGGGTTTAGTGTGCTAGATTCCCACATAGTGAATCTGCTGGCTTGAAAGTCATGCCAACCATGTGTGCATTCGTGGCCAAAATCCCAGTAGGAGAATGGAGGAGAAGAGATTGCAGTGTGGGCAATACTCCCCTTGGGGTCATTTCTCACTTTCCTCTCACTGTCTCTCTTTGTCTCTTTCCAATGAGTATATGTGCCCTATGGCAAAAACCTAAAAAAAAATTAATAATATGGACACAATGCTTCCTTGCTAAGAGAGAAAAACACAACGAATTAGAGAGAGAGATAAATATTAAGAAGGAAGCAGCATCCAAATATGCCAGGGATCAGCATGTAAAGAGGGATGATTCAGATGACTTTGGGAGAAGGTGATTCTAGCCCTGGCAGATAATCTTAGGAAAGAGAACATAATGCACAAATAAACACGCTTAATAGTCTTGATGAATAGAAAATTGTGCAGAGTGGATTCTATGCCGTCTTACTTGCTCCCAATGTTTGCTAAGTGAGAGCTGAGGTACAAACTCTATAGTTTAAGGAGATCTGAGTTTATTATGGATCAGGTGACTGGCAATGCAAACCTGCTGCAGCAGTTTGGGAAGCACATTTCAAGATCTCCCATCATTTTAAGCAAGCTCTTAAAATTGTAAATCTAATGACACCATGAAGTGCGTTTTGATGTTCAAATCAATGGACATTTCACAGTAATGATTCCACCACTGAGCAAGCCTATGTTTGGTTAAAAATTTTGTCTGTTGAGAAGTCACTGAATTTTGAGCAAACCAAGAAGCTGCCAGTCAATGTGGCAGCTGAAATATTCACTCTGTGGGAAAAAAAAAACAATAGGGCTTATGTCAGAGCCATGTCCCCAGTTAGAAAATTAATGTCATTCTGTAATTGCTCTTAAGAGTCAATCTTTTTTGAGTTACTCTTCACAGCATCTGCTAAGTGGCTTTGTTGTTGGATTTTAGGGCTTGGCACAATATTCTGTCCTCTTTTATGGCTATTACGACAATAAACGAACGATCGGATGGATGAATTTCAGGTTGCCGCTCTCCTATTTTCTAGTGGGGATTATGTGCATTGGATACAGCTTTCTGGTTGTCCTCAGAGCGTAAGTTTCATTTATCTTTTGGGAAACAAACAATGATTTCTGGAATCAAATGGGGAGGGATTCATTGGAGAATTGGTTATAATTTTGTGGCCATTTCATGTCTAGAGAATGCAGAGTCTGTAAGAGATGAAACACAGTTTTAATAACATTACTGTTAAACTATCACGTCCTCCAAAGAGAAGGGTTAAACACAAACACAGGCCTTTGGGTCATCTTGCTGGGTCAGATGGATGGGAGCTCGCTTATTCTGGGTTTAAATATATTTTTTAAATGTGCCTTTCTGAACGCAGAGGTGTAAATCCATGTGGTCAACAAGACAGAAGCAGCTGCTGACCCCTTCTTCGTGTGCAGACATTTGTGACTTGCAGAATCAGCTCAATACACAGATCTGCTGTTACTCGTTCATCTTTTTAAAACTAGAATGATCATTCACCCCGAAATTTCAGCTGTATTAGCTAATACAAATACCCCTTCCACTACTCTGCAATGAGACCATCATGATCACCTGTATAATTATGGTCCGTCTTAAAAAAGGGTTGGTCAGGGTATGAGGAGGAATTTCAGCGAAGGAATTGATAGAACTGCAGTTCATAATTTTACCCCTGCCTGAAATATATTAATAGTACTCCAATTAAAGACACTGCAGAAACCTAAAACAGTTATTTGGGAGTGAAAAAAAAATCTTTTAGCCAATTTTCTAAACTAGCTGAGGAGAAAATTTGAATGATCTCAAGTAAAGTTACCACTCACCACTTCTCCTCCTCCCCCTTTTTTTTTTTACTTTAAAGACAGCGTCTCACTGTGTCACAATCCCCCCACTTCAGCTTCCTAAGTAGCTGGGTTTGACTCACTTTCAAAGTGGGCAAGGAATGGAACTTGGGCCTCCCAGGTGAGCTTAATCTACAAGGTAGCAATGTCTTAACAGCATGCCACTAAAGGCTGGGGTAAGGTCCCCAGCCTTTTCTTTTCTTTTCTTTCTTTCTTTCTTTCTTTCTTTCTTTCTTTCTTTCTTTCTTTCTTTCTTTTTTAATGTAAAGCATGAATGAGCCTTTTCCTTCATCATAGGAAGGGGCTCTGTCCAAGGATCTTGGAGGGATGAAGTACACAGTCGCCTTAGGCAGGAGCCCTCTGGAGCAGCTCGTGACATGCTTTCTGTCCTATCTCTGCCTCACTTACTGGTTCCTCCAGAAAAAAACTGTCATATTTTCATATTTAATTTATAAGCTCTTTCAGAATTTGAGAAAAGCCTTATTGAAGACCCCCCCATAGTCAGATATTTATCAGTCCATCCAAGTGCAACCAGAGGCCTCAAATATAAGATTTCTGTCCATCTGAAAAAACACTACCTCAGTCCAAAAATCTAAGATATTTTCTAGTCTTTTGACCATATTGTTTTGTTTGGACCAAAGTCAGAGGTACCATTTACATTAGTGAGGCCTCATGAGTGCCATTTCAGTATTAGTATTTTGGTCTCCATGGTCAGTGGAAAAGGATTCTGTGCATATCTTATTACTGGGCTTCTTTCAGTGACTCCGTGGAGTCTGCGTATCATAGTGGGCTCTCATGATATTCTGGCAAGGTTCAGATCCCAGCTCTGCCATGCACATACTACACAGCTGCTCTGTTCTTCTGTATCCCATCTCTAATAGAGATGCGGTAGGTGTGAGGACCAAATGAGTTGATACATACAAAGCATTTAGAACATACCTGGCGTGTGAAAAATGTTTAATAGATATTAATCACTATATGAGGATTATAATTCAAAGACTTATTGAAGAACGAAACCAAGCCAGCACAATGAGAGTTGAGGTCATGTTATAACCTCCCAAACCAGGGCAGTCAGATATCCAGTATAGTAGATTTATATATTTAATAAAATAATTTTCTGGCAGATGAATTTGAAGTATCTAGAGAATTACTATGCAAAGTCAGCTACGCATATAATTTAGAAATTTCAGGACCAGAAGTTGGCGTAATGACTGTCATGGGACTCCCATGTAGTCGACTGCAGTTCAAGTCCCAGACCTGGTGGCTAAAACTCACACCGGGCGTATGTGCATGTGTGCCCAAGATCCCGAGAGGAGAATGGAGAAGGAATTGCGATGTGGCCATCAGCCCTGGGTGGTGATTCTCGTTTTCTGTCTCTCTCTGCCTTTCTGGTGAGTGCAGGCACCCTATAGCAAAAACCTCTCCAAAAAAAAGAAAGAAAGAAAAGAAATTTCTAGCATACATATTTTGAAAAACAGGAGAAATTAATTTTAATAATATATTTTATTTAACCCAGTATATCAGATGTACTATTGTTTCAAAAAATGATCAATATAAATTATTATTGAGATATTCTGTCTTTTGGGGGGGCACTAAGTCTTCATAATCTGAAATATATTTTATACTAGTCACATTTTATGTACTCAGTAACCACATGTTACTGGTGATGACCACACTGGACACAACAGCTGTAGAGAAAGTGGCAGCCTTTTTGAATTTACTCCAAGATGCCATTTAAGATAGCTGCAAGGCACCAACTCCATGTTTTTCCCGTCAAAGTCAGCTATGCTATGCTAAGAAAATCCACCTGCCTCAGTCACCCGTCTGGCATGGATCTTTAGTTATTCATTACCTGAACTACCAGCAGTTCCAACTCATTGACTTATATAGCACGGCAATTCAAAAGCAATACATATATGACTCCTACTGCCAGTCCCAGCTCAAGGAACAATACTTGGTAAAAAAAGAATTGATGAGACAGAAATGATTGTACAGAATCACTGATCATCTCTTCCCACTCCCATATCTACCCCAATCACATATACTCTTGAAATAAATATGAGCGCATTTATGGGATACATTACTCAAATAGAATAGAAGGAAACCTGAGTTCTTGAATCAACTCTCCTTCGCTTTCTCACTCTCTCTTTCATAAAAAATAAAATAAAACAAATTCTTGGAGCAGAAAAGCAGTGACATATGAAAGGCTTAAAATCATCATGTTTCATTTTATATTATTGCTTTATGAACTGTATCTATGATTATGAAATTTAACATGAAAAGTTCTCCCCTGGCAAACATGGAATAGGGACAGTAGTAGTCTAGGATGAATGGCAGCTCTTTATAAAATGAAATGATACATTGAAATTTATGGTGAAAACAAGGGCAGACCTGAACAACAATAGCATAACCAGCATTTGTTAATATGTACTCTACCATACAAAAACAATAATTTATGCTAATATATTAATGAGGCTCTTTCTAGTGCCAATTTTACTTCCAGAATGACAATTCATGTACTTATTCTTTCATTTAACGACAGTTTATGGAGCACCTACTGTGAGCAATCCAGGGAGCTATCTGATGTCTGTGGATTTAATGGTGAACAAAATAAAGTCCTTGCCCTCATAGTACTCAGTTAGGGAAACAGATCATAAACAAAGAAATGACTAGTGGTAGTGACCAATAGACCATCAACTAATAGGTTGTATTATCCTTTGTCATGAAATATTTCTTCTTTCTCAAGAATGTAATACATGCTGCTTAAAATCTTCCTTGCAGTAATTTTCTTTTTCTTGTGTACTAGCCTTACCTTGTGAGCTTCTAGCGAGTTGTTTCCCACCTATCTCTCAATCCTTCCTGACTTTCATTTTGGCAGAGGCTACATTATTAGGGTGACCCTATTGGCTTAGGATTTAGGAGGCATTCGATTTAATAAAAACCTGTGCATGCATCCATACGATAACCCAATGACCCCACTGTATAGTTGGGGCTGTAAACTTTTGGTCCAAAGCAAGCAATTCAATTTAAAAACCTTAGGCAACCCCATAAATGTTGTAATTGCCTTCCCTTACTTCCCTGGCAAGACAAATGATAAATGGAGAATACTTCTCATATTTTGCAGTCTGAAGCTATGGCTCCCTTGCAAAAGGAGGTTTTTTAAAAATAAGTATGGACATTTTTTGCTCTGTAGACAGGGTGTAGAGATGTACATGAAACATTTTACAGCTATTAAGGTCAAATTTTCATCAAAATGTGTTATGAGCAGAGTTTGTCTTCAGTCTCCTTCCTTCATTCTTTTTAGTATCCCATTCCTTTTCTCATAATGTTCCCAGTTTGCTTGTCCAGGTGGGGCTCCCTTCCCAGGAAAGTTGTCTTCAACTACAAAATTTGGCCAGTGATAAAAATCCATTGTAAACTTACCTGTTAGCTGACCATTTTTTCCTTGAGGCCTTGCTCTGCTCAATGACAGTACAAAAAATGATTGGTGGTATATTAATCAAATAAATAGCTTTCTCCTTAGGTGACACCATAGGGAATGTCTGATATCAACTCTTTGATCTGCAGAAACACTTTCTATTTGGTTCATCATCCCTTATGGTGGCCTAGCTTGTGTGCTGGAGCAAAGCCAGAAAATCTGAGCCCTTGTTGACCTCTGGGATGCACTGCTGGATAATGGCCAGCCAATTGCTTCATGTCTCTGAGCATCATCTTCTGCATTTGAAAAAGAGACCAACAATAACCACCTTGACCTCTTGCAAAGTTTTCTAGAACAAGTACAAAAAAAGGAAAATATATGTAATCACCATAAGTAAAGGGTCAAGTGGTAGACTTATGAAATGAATAATTATTTTTGGTTATTTTATATAATATAGTAGCTGATTTAAAATATATAAACCTCCATAAGGACTAGGGCTAATGATAGGAGAATTTACTTGACCTTAGATATAGTTATCCATCTATCATGTTAGCTTTATGCCATTGACCTCTATCTTCTTTTGGTTCCATATCACTACAATATTTAAAAAACAAACCTCATGGGATTACTTTCGTATGTGCCATATGAAATTTTACTTTTGCTATTTATAATAATATGGGAAAAAAGGAAGTGAAGTAAGTGAAATATAGATTTCTAACAACTAAAATAAACCTATAAATAAATGCATTAAGCTCTTCAAGCCAAAAACATTCTTTAATTACTGATTAGAATATATGTAATCCATTGGCATTAAGGTTGTACAAAACTCTTGAATTTTGCTCAAGAATTGTAAAGTAGATAAAAATTTAATGCATTTGGAGTAATTGTTCTTTGGAAGGGAATTTAGAGGAGGATTAAATTTTGCATAGGACGTTTTTTATCTGGGTTAGTCCATACATAGGTTTCAGGGGGTCTGGGAACCAACTGAAGTTGTGTGAAATAGGGTAAAGTCTACATATTTTTTCCTGGGAAGAGACTTAATTGTTTCATCATATCCTTAAATGGATTTGTATCCCACAAAACATTAAGAACCAATTATATGACTTTAATCCCTCAATTTAAGAAAATAAATAAAAAATGTATTTTTATATGCTTGTTTAATTGTTAAATCCATGAATGTTATTAATCTTTTAATCTTGAAGACTTTGAAAATTAAAGGTTTAAAAAATTAAACAAAAAATTTAAAAATAAGCTTCTATTTTCTAGTTATTAAGGCAAACTTATTGAAAATATTCGTCTTTTAAATATCACTATTTCAATTTATCTATAATTATGATGTATTGTTATTCTCTACCCTTTCTCTTTCTTTCTGTGTTCTGGCTGCTGGTTAAGCTCCCTGTTTTTTATAGGATGACCAAAAATATTGGTGATGATGGAGGAGGTGATGACAATACTTTTAACTTCAGCTGGAAGGTGTTCACCAGCTGGGACTACCTGATTGGCAATCCTGAAACAGCAGACAACAAATTTAATTCTATCACAATGAACTTTAAGGTAGGAACAAAATTTCAAAAGATTGTTCTATATACATTTTTTTTTTTTAGAAATTTATTTATTTATTCTATGAGAGGGAGAGAGCATGCCCAACAGAATCTTAATGCCGTGATCCATCTGTGGCTAAGCCAGCCCTAGATCACAGGCGTAAACATACTGGAGTACTCACGGAGGTCTCTAGATGCAATCCTGGAAACTTCTCATATTGGGTCAGCCTTGCAGAGCTTTATATCTTTACCACTGCACCTCTGCCCACCTCGATGTTCTTTGTGATTCTAAAAGTAAAATTTTGGGAATTCCATATGGTATAACTATTGAAGTATATTGACAATTAGAAAAGAGATTAACTCATGGTTTCTGCCTACCTGGATCTGGGCATGGTTCTATTATGATTGGAAAATATCTGATGATGGATGATAGCACTATTATCCCTTGAGGACTTTTCTTCTCTAAATTTGGAGCTAAAGCAATGTTACTAGGCTGAGCCATGGTGGAGCATTCTGTTAAGACTATGCCCCACAGACTAGAACCACATGGACGGTCTGGGTTTGATTAATAGTCTAACCTAAAGGCTAGGCTCGGTGATACATACGTGCAATCCTATAGAGTCATGGAGGTTGAGGCAGAAGGATCACAGTATAGAGAATATTTGTCTTAAAAATAAATGTATTCTATTGGCTCAAAACAGGAAATCATCAGTAATCAGAGTCAGCTGTTTTAAACAATAAAACAATACTATTTACAGAACAAGCTAGTTTATTATTTAAAGTGACTCTAAAGGCAATTTTATAGTCTTAAAAATTACATTGAACAGAATTATCTTTAAGAATTCGGACTATTCTAGCGTTAAACCAATCAAGAGTTTATTTACAAGAATTCTTCCTTCTTTCATTTGCCATCACTTGTTGGCAATATTTGCCTTGTTCAGAGAATCCCAAATTTAATTTATATGTACACACCTTACATTCATTTTTTTTTTTTAATGGGCAGAGAGCATGAGCTTTCACCAGAGAAAGATAAATAGAGAAAAGAAAGAAGCCCCCCACCATGGGGCATGGTCATGCTGCAATCCCATCACCTTCTTTTCTCCATCCTGTTGGGATCTAAGGCATGTATGAACATGTACCTGGTATGTTTTTCAAGTCACTAGGTGAAGATTTGAACCATGGTTGGCCATGTGGGAGCTGGCATCCTTAGGCTATGGGGCTGGCCCATTCCTCATATTCTAATTTGCAAAAATAATTTCCAAGTTCATAATCCTTTTTATAGCTAAGATATCCTTTTTATTTTGTTTTGCCTGGATATAGGAAGCTATAATAGAAGAACGAGCAGCCCAAGTAGAAGAAAATGTCCACTTGATCAGGTTCCTGAGGTTTCTTGCTAACTTCTTCGTGTTTCTAACTCTTGGAGGAAGTGGATACCTCATCTTCTGGGCTGTGAAACGATCCCAGGAATTTGCACAGCAAGATCCTGACACCCTTGGGTGGTGGGAAAAAAATGAAGTTCGTCTCTGCATGCTTTTTATGTGCTTAGAGCCTGATATTTGCTATTTTGTGTTTTTGCTGAAACACTAAGTAAGCCTATCCCTTGCCTGTGCTCCCTTCTTTCCCTATAGTTAACCAACTCTTTCACATTTCCCATTTTACTTTAGTCTTATTTACAAATCTGTGCTATTTTTTATGTTGTGTCATGATAGAAAGTGAGAGTCAAGAGAGATAAGAAAACATATAGTCCAACCAGTACATTTTACAGATGCAGATGATAAATCTCAGGAAATCAGACATTGTGTTTACAGTCAAGACTTAGTAGACTAACAGAGAACCTGGGAGTGTTAATTTCAAGTCTGAGGCTCTATGTTGCTTTCCCTGTATATCCGTTATCTGTCATGGAAAGATCAAATTGTTGCCTGGATTCTCTGATAAAGCCTGAATTATCCCACTAGAGACAGATTGCAAATCGTGGCTTCCCTTTATTTTCTCCCCTTATTTTTCACTAAGGCTTAAATGCACAAGTCCATCTCCTCTTCTCCCCTGCCTTACTTTCACTCCCTCCAAATGATATTCAAGTAAAGAAGGCCAGCTCTTTGCAAGTAATTAAATTTTCTGATTGCTATTTTGCCTTCAATGTGTCTGCCCATCTAGTGGTTTAGAGAGATGAGGTAGATATTTAGAATCAGGAAATCATTGGTTATGAACTGTAATAGCATAAAATGTTGACATCACTTTAAACTTGGGCATTTTCAAATATGCATAGACTTAGCCTATATATAGATATAGATAGATAGATACAGATATAGATATATTTTGGAAAGCCTTGTCAGCAAATATGTATATAAAGATAATTCTTTATAAACATGATTTCCTTTAAAAATTTTGGACAGTAAATTCTATAATCTATTTATAAAGGGCCAGCAGGTTGCATAGTGGTTAAGGCACTATACTCCCAAATGACCCACTGCAGTTGGAATCTCAGACCTGGCAACTTAAAAATATTTCCAGGTATGTATGCATTAATGCCCCAAATCCCAAGGAGGAGGATGGAGAAGGGATTGCAGTGTGGTCATCCCCGCTGGGGGTTAATTTCTCACTTTCCTTCTCACTGTCTCTCTCTGGCAAGTGCATGCACCCTATGGCATAAACCTTTTTTTTTTAAAAAAGACTCTAAATAAAAAAATTCTAGATATTTCAGAAATTATGACAATAGAAATGGGGAAGCATACATTTAAGAGACTATAATATCACAGGCATTTCATGGAAACTATAAAATAGAAATCATTGGGTAGAGGATTTTTATTTATTTAAAACAAAGGACCACCTTGAAGTACTTACTGAGTTTACCTTCAGAATCTTCCTTATAATTGTGATAGTACAATAGACAAAATGATAAAGCAGCTTTGGCTCATACTGATCACATTTTTATATAAATGAACCATACAAAAGAATAAGTAGTTGATTATCATTAAAAAGATTATACTTTGTAAGAACCTGTTTAATATTCACTTTACAGGACCCCTGAGTCCTAGAGACTAATGAAGATAATATTGTGAATTCATGAATAACTTTACAAATTTGAAGAAACCAAATTTAATCTGCCAAATTTTTATGTTAGGCTGAAATTATATCATGCTGATTTTATATTATGTCATGCTGAGTTTCGGATCCTGTTGGTCATACTTATATAATGTTCTTAATAAAATGTTTTAAAATATTGCCAATTATTTTCTAAATCTAGTATTATAGTTATAATCATTCAAACATGGAGTCCACAGGGAAAATAGAAAACACTTAGGGGTGATGATTTAAGTCCAGATATTTGGTAAAGATAGTTATCAATTATCTGAAATGTTTTTTCCTGTTGCAAAATGGCTTAATTTAGACTAATAATAAATCATAAGGGTGCCAAACAGTCAGGAGATAAGAACTCTATATTTTCTACTTTTTGTATTTCTCTCTCCACTCTCTCCTGCCTTATCCACCCTGTGCATCACGGTCTTACTGTTGACATTATAGACCAGTCTATCATTTTTGAAACTTTCTACCTTGGCTTCTTTAATATTATGCCATGCAGGTTCCATTTGTTTCTCTGAATGTCCCCTATTTTCTTGGATAAACTATTTAATTTTTTATTTTTATCTCCAGCAATTTGCATTCTTCATGGTTCATTTCTTTTAAAGAATTATTTAACTTTATTTATTTATTTATTTTTAATTTGACCAGAAAGGGACAGAGAGAGAGAGAGAGAGAGAGAGAGAGAGAGAGAGAGAGAAAGAGAGAGAGAGAGAGAGGAAAAGTTAGAAAGCAAGCTTCCAGATCCAGTACTTTAACCGCAGACTGCCCTGTGGGAGTCCAGCATCCTTAAGCACCATGTCACCTGCTGGGCCAACATTTCATTGTTTTTAATCCTGAGTTCCTGAACTCATCTAAGAGAATGCATTTATTCTAACTGATTACACTAGCTTATATTCTTATGGTTATCAGATTAGTATTTCTATTGGGTCATGGGAAAGTTATGATGCATTTTTACATAGAAAAACATAGAAAAATCCATCATGACTCTTCTGATGACCTACAGGTGAGCTCTGTTCTCAAACATTATTTTCCACTTAATCTTGTTATAAAGTGCCTCACTATAGCAGAATCCATCACCATGTAGAACAGTATGTTTTCTGGCTACATAGAGATGTAAACTGCATCCCTCACTATCCTAGGAAACAGCCTAGTGCTGCTGGTGCAGAGTAATACTGACACCATTTCATACACATGCATCTCTGGAGAATGTGAGTTGAATATTGTCTATTGTTTCATTGAGGTCCAATTCCAAATGTATGAAATACTCTTTAGTCTTATAAAAGATGAAAGGAACCTAGCTGAGAATCTTCCAATAGGAAAGCAATAATACTTTTTAAGCACTATTAACGTAGTTTGTCCTTTGTGTTTCCTTGTAGATGAACATGGTGATGTCCCTCCTGGGGATGTTCTGTCCAACACTGTTTGACCTATTTGCTGAATTGGAAGACTACCATCCCCTCATTGCTCTGAAATGGCTTCTGGGACGCATTTTTGCTCTCCTTTTAGGCAACTTATATGTATTTATTCTTGCCTTGATGGATGAGATTAACAATAAGGTAAATCTGATCAATTTGTTCATGCCCTCTTCACCTTGTTAAATTTTGGGTCTCAAGGATGCCAAAACTGTCTCTGAAAACTCTATTGTCTTCATTTTTGTTTCCATCTCTTTGCTTTTTAGATAGAAGAGGAAAAGCTTGTAAAGGCCAATATTACCCTATGGGAAGCCAACATGATCAAGGCCTATAATGCCTCACTCTCTGGAAACACCACTGGGTCACCCTTTTTTGTTCACCCTGCAGATGTACCTCGAGGACCCTGCTGGGAAACAATGGTAGGACAGGTAATGTCACAAACAAAAATGCATGGCAATTAGTGGGCCAAAAAAAAAAATTATTTCCTAAGGATGGTCTGGTTTTAAAAATTGTTTATTAATAAGAATAACTACAATTTATTGAATGTTTACTATGGAAGGACTCTGAATTTCACATGGATTATCTTACAGAGTCATTATATCCATCCATCCATCTCTTCAGGTAAGTGCTATTTGTATACCTCTTTTACAGTTACATATAAAGGATAGTTTAAAAATGGTGTGAAATGGGTCCTATATATGTCATAGTAGTTACATTGCCGGACTCACACATCACAGTTCAAGTTCCGGACACAGTGACTTGAAATCATGCCAGGCGTGTGCGCATGTGTGCCCAAGAAAGGATTGTGGCATGGTCATTTGCTCTGGGGGTTGAAGAGGGTGATTTCTCACTTTCCCTCTCACTATCTCTGTCTCTCTCTCCCCAGTGAACACATGAACCCTAAGGCAAAACCTTTCCAAAAAAAACAAAAGGTGTGAAATGCTTACTACCTATGTGTGTTATAGTAAAGCACCCAGATTTAGATGTAAATAAATATTTACAAATAAATATTTACATGGAATTCTATTTAGTGTTACTTGTTTGCTATAAAACAAAACAAAAGCAAAATAGATACTTTTTGGATAACATACTATTACTAATTTTAGTAAAGTCAGTTTTGTCAAATAATTTTTCCTTAAGAGTTAATTGTTTTTTTTTAAATTTTTTATAAAGGGTTTGCCAGAGGTCACTTTCTGGAGAGAGAAAGAGAGAGAGAAAGTACCCCTCACCCCCATTAGGGGATGGGTACGCCATAATCCCTTCTCCTACATTTCTACATCCTTTTGGGATTTGGGGCATGTACGCACATGTGCCTGGCAAGTTTCTTTCTTTCTTTCTTTTTTTTTTTTTTTTGCATTTGTAATAGAATATTTACTTGTTCACATACATAATCAAGTTAGTGTGATTTTTTTTCTTCCTTTTTAAATTTTTTTATTATCACCATAATCTTCTTTATATTACATTGGATTACATATATCTTTTCTATGTTTTCCCCAATCATTATTTTTATTATTCTAATTATTTTTTAAAATAGTCAATCGCTATTTCTCATTTTTCTTGTAAAAATACTTTGCCCATCATGAAATACTTCTCAGACCAATCCAGTTGAGAATACTATACATGTCATCATCAACAGTTAATAAGCCATATCTGTTTCTCACTAATGTCCTGCCTCTCTATTGTTCACTTGCTATCTTTCTCTAACCTCTTCTCTTCACTTCCCCCATTCCACACTGTCCTCACCTAGCGTGAGTTTAAGCCACCGAGTTTAGGACTCGAACCGCGGTCGAGTATGTGGGAGTCCAGTGACATAGCCATTATGCTAACTGCTGGTCCCCCTGAAATGTGTTTTTTTTTTTTTCTGCAATAAACATGGATGTGCAAGCACTTTTCTGACTGAGCGTTCTCCTGTCTTTTGGGTAAATACCCAGAAGTGGGATTGCTGGATCAAATGGTAGTTCTATTTGTAGATCTTTGAGGAACCTCCATATTGTTCTCCACAGTGGTTGAACTAGTTTACATTCCCACCAACAGTGTAGGAGGGTTCCCTTTTCACCACATCCCCGCCAACACTTATCACTTTTTATATTCTTAATCTTTGCCATTCTGACAGGGGTTAGGTGGTATCTCATTGTGGTTTTTATCTGCATTTCCCTTATGATGAGGGATGTCGAGCATTTCCTCATATGCTTTTTGGCTGTTCGTATGTCTTCCTTAGAGAGACTTTTGTTCAGCTCACTTTCCCATCTTTTAATCGGGTTAATCATTTTTTTTCGCATAAGGCACTTGAGTTCCCTATGTATTCTCGTTATCAGTCCCTTGTCTGAGGCATATTTAACAAAAATATTTTCCCATTCTGAGGGTTGTCGGTTCACACTTGTTACTGTGTCCTTTGCTGTGCAGAAACTTCTTAGTCTAATATAGTCCCACTTGTCTATTTTAGGGATTATTGCCTGTGCTTTGGGAGTCTTATTTAAGAAGTCTTTGCCTACTCCAATGTCTCCCAGAGTTTCCCCAGCATTTTCCACAAGTAGTTTTATTGTCTGAGGTCTTAGGTTCAGATCTTTGATCCATTTTGAGTTGACTGTTGTTAGGTGAAAGATGGAGGTTCAGTTTCATCTTTCTGCAGGTGGATACCCAGTTTTTCCAGCACCATTTACTAAAGTGGTTTTCCTTTTCCCAATGGATTGACTGATATCCTTTGTCAAAAATCAGTTGGCTGTAAGCTTTGGGGTTATTTCTGGGGTCTCTATTCTCTTCCATTGGTCCACATGTCGGTTTTTATGCCAATACCATGCTGTTTTGATGACCACAGCTTTATAGTATATCTTGGGATCAGGAAGTGATATGCCTCCTACTCCATTCTTCTTACGCAGGATTGCTTTTGCAGTACAAGGTCTTTTATGGTTCCAGACAAATTCTATAATTGTCTTTTCTAGATCTGTGCCTGGCAAGTTTCTCAAGCTGCCAGGTCTGTGTCTACATGGAATTCTATTTAGTGTTACTTGTTTGATATAAACAAAATAAACCCCCAAAATAGATTCTTTTGTGAGCACACACTAATACTAATTTTAGTAATGCCGTTTTTTGCCAAATAATTTTTCCTTGAGAGTTAAAGAAAATACTATCTTTTTTAAAGTTTGCCAGAGGGCACTTGAGAGAGAGAGAGAGAGAGAGAGAGAGAGAGAGAGAGAGAGGGAGAGAGAGCCTCCCCTTGGGTATGGTTATGCTGCAATCCCTTCTCCATTTCTATACCCTTTTGGGATTTGGGGCATGTACACATGCATTCCTGGCATGTTTTTCAAGCTTCCAAGTCTGGGACTTGAACTGCACAATTGGCCATGTTGATCCAGCTGCCTTAACATACCATGCCACAGGCTGGTGCAAAAATACTATTTATTTATTTATTTATTATTCATACATTAAATTGCTATACATCATTTAGATAGTAAAGAGACTTTAAGAAGCATGATGTACACCTCAGTCCAACCCAGTTGAGAATACTGTACACATCCTCATCAAGAGATAATAAACCATATCTGTGTCCTACAAGTGTCTTACCTCTCTATTTTTTCCCCAAATTTCCTTTCCTACACTCCTCTCCTCTCACACTCTTTTTCCACTTTGTCTACAGTGTCCATTACAATTTTTAATGCTTTTATGTTCTCCAGTCTTTCAGTCTCTACCATAGAGCATGGACAGTAGGTATATGTTAAGTGGAGACACACAATGTCTCTCTTTCATAGCCTTATTTGCTTTGCTCAGCAACAAATCTTCCATATTCATCAACTTTCTATCAAATTCCAGAGCCTTGTTGTTTTTATTTATGGTTAAATAGTATTCCATGGAGTATATGTGCCACAGTTTTTCAGTCCATTCATCTGTTTGTGGACATTTGGGTTGGGTTGGTTCCATGTCTTAGCAATCATGAACAATGCTGCAATGAATATAGGTATGCAAGTGCTTTTCTGACTGAGTGTTCTCCTGTCCTTTGGGTAGATACCTAGGAATGGAATTGCTGGATCACATGGTAGTTCTATTTGAAGATCTTTGAGGAACCTCCATATTGTTCTCCACTGTGGCTGGACCAATTACATTCCCATCAACAGTGTAGGAGTATTCTCCTTTCACCACATTCCCTCTGGCACTTATCATTATTATTTTTTTGATCTTCACGATTCTGACTGGGGTTAGGTTGTATCTCATTGTGGTTTTGATCTGCATCTACCTTATAATGAGGGATGTTGAGCATTTTTTTTCATATGCTTTTTGACTGTTTGTATGTCTTTCTTAGACAGTTGTTTATTTAGCTCATTTTCCCATCTTTTAATTGGGTTAATCATTTTCTTCTGTGTCAGCTGCTTGAGTTCCCAGTGTGTTCTGGTTATCAGTCCTTTATCTGAGGCACAGTTAACAAAAAATTCTCTCCCGTTCTGAAGGTCATTGATTCACTCTAATTATGGTGTCCTTTTTGTGCAGAACCTTCCTAATCTGATATAACCCCATCTGTCTATTTTGGGGATTATTGACTGTGCTTTGAAAGGTCTTCCTTAAGAAGTCTTTGCCTACCCCATTGTCTCCCAGAGTTTCACCAGTGTTTTCCACCAGTAGTCTTCTAGTTTGAAGTCTTAAGTTTAGATCTTTGAGCCACTTTGAGTTGGTTTTTGTTAATGGTGACAGATAGGGGTTCAGATTCATCTTTCTGCAGGTGCATATCCAGTTTTTACAGCACCATTTGCTAAAGAGGTTTCCATTTTCCCACTGGATTGACTGCTACCCTTTGTCAAAGATGAGTTGGCTGTGTGTTTTGGAGTTTATTTCTGGAGTCTCTACTCTGTTCCATTGGTCCTCATGTCTATTTTTGTGCCAATATCATGCTGTTTTGATGATCACAGTTTTGTAATATATTTTGGAGGCAGGAAGTGAGATACCACCTACTCCAGTATTCTTGCACAGGATGGCTTTAGCAAAACAGGGTCTTTTAAGGTTCCAGACAAATTCTATTATAGTCTTTTCTAAATCTGTGAAGAATGTCTCTTGTAATTTTATAGGGATTGCATTAAATATGTAGATTAATTTGGGTATGATTGCCATTTTGATTATAATAATTCTCTCAATCCAGGAACATGGGATTTCCTTCCACTTTTTAGTGTACTTTTCAATTTCCTTTTTAAAGTTTTCATAGTTTTCCTTGTAGAGGTCTTTGACTTCCTTGATTAGTTTTATTCCTAAGTATCTTACACTTCTTGGCTATGGTAAATGGGATTATTTTCTTCAGTTCTGTCTCTGTCTGCTTGTTGTTCATATTTAGAAATCCTGTATGTTTTTGTAAGTTAATTTTGTATCCTGTCACTTTACTCTATGCATTTATTACTTTGAGAAGTTTTTTCATGGATACTATTGGGTCTTCTATGTATACAATCATGTC